CACTTTCTCACCAGTGCCCCACCCTCCTCCCTCTCCCCTCCATCCCCCTCCCTCCCTTACCATGGCCGGCAGAAGGAAGGCATGCCGGACACGTCCTCCCCAATGCTGATGCAGCTGGGGAACATGTCGTGAAGCAGGTTGTTCACCAGCATCAGATAAACCACCGCGTCGACGTCCGTGTTCATGCCGAAGTACTCGCCGTAGTTGCCTGAGTAGGTGGGTGGGTGGGTACGGGATCCGGGTGTGTTCGGCGGGGAAAGGTGTACGGGGAGTGGTTGAAACGGCGGTGAAGTGAGAGAAGACTGGTTTAACAACCTGCGCCGTGATGAGAATCACAGCGATGGGTTGTACGGAAGTAAAGGTTTGGAAGAGAGATCCTTAGTCCAGTTTGCGTGTGTGTGTATGTGTGTGTGTTTTCGAGCACGTGCGCACAGGAGGCCGCGACTTGCGGGTTGACTCCGCCCGTCATTGAGCTGAAAAAGCCACCTGCCCTCACAAGCCCTGTGGCTCAGATCGGCAACACTAAACATTAACCGTGTGACAACCCCTGGAGTTCCATTACCGTACATACCGGTGAACGTGTACGACAGGCCGTGATGGTGGTACATCATGGACGTGACGCCGTCGAAACGGTATCCGTCAAACTTGTATTCGTCCATCCACCAGCGGGCGTTGGACAGCAGGAAGCGCATTGTCTCCCAGTTGCCTAATCGGGCATATGATGGATGACACAGATTGGACATATGGCATGTAATGTAATGTTGGACATATGGCATGACACAACACAGCATGACACGGCAAGCATAGGGGGTGGGTGGGGGGGGAAGAGGTTCATCAGGCGTAATGTAATCAGAGTTAAAATTTGTTGCGTATTCAACAAAACGGACTGTAATTAAGGAGCTGGGCACCTTTTTCACATCTTCCACTTCAAAACCCCTTCCTAGGATGGATACATCCTCTTTCTTCCACAATCTCTCTCGTGCTGCCATGTCTCCATTACTCCACACACACACACACACACACATACATACATACATACACATACACACAGATCTGGCTGACCGAACCAGCTCCAAGTGGGAAGAGTCAACAGATGGGCCCCCCCTCGAGCAGTTCCCCCACACCCCTCCTCATGCCCCCGCGGGGTGTAGCAGGCAGCAGGCGTACGGCAGGTCCTTTCACCTGGGATCCATGCAGCATCTCCGATGGCAGTGATATATATACACACACAAAAACACACGCACGCGGTCCCTTCCCCCCTCTACCTCAGCTTCACTCGTTCGTGGTTCTTCTTCCCCCCTCCCCTCCCCTTTCCCCCCCCCCCCCGCCCCCTCCTCTTGCCGTACCGTAGTTGAAGCAGCGGCTGTCCCACATCCAGTGGTTGCCCCGCGGGCCGCCGTGGAAGTACATTCCGTCGGTGCCGTCGAACATGTTGATACCGTCGTTGGTGTTCTTGGAGGCGTGGCTGTGCACGATGTCCATCAGCACCTGAGGCACAGGAGAGGCAGGGAGGCGGTCGAGGGGTGGTTGGGAGGGGGTAGGTGGTTGGAGGGGTAGGAGTGTGCAAGCATGGCTCAAGTGGGACGTGTACGCAACGAAAAGAATGAATGGGAGGGGGCACCGCCAACTCCAACGGCAAAAACAAAACAAAACAAAACAAAGCGAAGCGAAGGATTAAAACAGCGAAAGTGACACTACCAGAGCCGCGACTGCTCGTCGCCCATCCGTCCCTCCCGTCCGGTGACTGAAGACCGCAGCGACTTCAAACTGCCCCAAACCAGGCCACGGATATCTTGAGGTATCCGTTTATGGCTTTCCTTCTCGCAAATCGTCTGTGCTTTGTCGTACCCTCCGGGGCCCCAAACCCTACAGACATCATTGCTCCAGGGGCGCAGCTTTCCCCCCGAGCAGTACCCGTACCCCCGACACGGTCGTGCAGCAGCCCGCGAACGCAACAAAGCCCCCTCGGAGAGGGCTTCAAATGGGGGACGTTCCCAGTCCGCCCTCACCCCCCCTCATCCGCCCCATCCTTGACTGAACTAGTCATTAGGCACCCAGATGACGATATTTCATGTAATGACCCTTCATGCCATTTCTGAGGCTCTTAGGAGCCTCTGCTGGCTCGTGTATGGGCCCCTAGGTTACACACCTCTCCATCTGGGTAACGCAACCTGGAGGTGTAACATGCGCGCGCACGCATACACACGCACACACGTCGCCGTTTGTGTTTTATGTATACCGTCTAGCTTCCCGCCTAGGGTTGAGCTCGGCTCGGCTCTTTTGAGCTTCGGCACTGTAAACCTTGAAAAGCAACACCCAACCACGCCTTCGATGTGTCTCACTGCGCCCCCGTCTTCCCCCGCTCCCAGGCGGCCCTCCAATTCCAGCTGGTTCCTTTGACCTGTTTACTTTTGCATGTAACCTTTTCCCTTTTTTCTCCCTCCCCCCGCCGCCAGACTTGCCCCAAAAACACACGTGCACACACCCTCCCTCCCTCCCCCCTCCCCTCGCCCGCCGTACCCACCACGAGACCCATGCGGTGAGCCTCATCCACCAGCGCCTTGAGCTCATCGGGTGTACCGCAACGGCTGCTGACCTGAGGCAAGAGCGTGTGCACGTTCGTGTGTGTGTATGGGTGCGTACGACGACGCCGCGGGGGAGGAGTGGTGGATATGAGGAGAGTTGGAAATGGACTACCGCAACTGGGTGTGGGGTTCCTGGCAGGTACGACATTTGTCAACGCACATTGCATATATACATACATACATATATACATGTATGTGTTGCATACATACATATATACATGTATGTGTTGCATACATACATATATACACACCTTCACAAGGCCGCGCGTTTACGAATATGAGGACATGGTCGCGTTGCACTAACAAACAATCGCAAGAGCCGTCCTCCCTCTCCTCCCCTCCTCCCGAACTGCGGGACCGCTCCGTTAAGAGATAATAGTCGGTCTCGGAAGGACAGACCCTCCACACTACCGTGGCCATACACACCGACACACACAAAGATGCACATACACATACACACGCACACACACACGCATGCAGAGACATTCTCCAGAATCTCGTCACCATCTTTCCATCTGCCTCGTTGCCCTCCCCCGCCTCCCCTCCCCTCCCTTACCTCTCACTCACCCGCCTGCAGTGTCCGACAAGGTTCCCCCCCTCCACATCCCCCCTCTCACCCCCTGTATCCCCCCCTCCCCTCCCCTTCCACGTCCCCCGCTTCCCCTCCCCTCCCCTCCCCTCCCCCTTCCACGTCCCCCCATCCACATTCCCCCGCCAACCCACCCCAAAGAAGTTGGTGACGTGGTATCCGAAGGAGCCGTAGTAGCTGTGCTCCTGGATGGCCATGATCTGAATGGCGTTGTAGCCCAGCGCCCTGATGCGCGGCAACACGTCCTTCCGGAACTCCAGGTAGCTGTTCACCTTGGGCTCCTGACTGCTCATGCCCACGTGGCACTCGTAAATACGCAGAGCGCGGGGCCTGGAGCACACAAGAGGGTTGGATTCGAATACGGGAGTAGGGGACACACGGAAGAGGTTGCGTGGAGGTATAATGGCGTCCATAGGATGTACGTATTCGAAGGATTAATACATATATACCCATATAATCCAATCCACAATCCGAATATTTGAAATCCCTCCCCCTGCCCTTCCCGCCCCCTCCCTACGCGCAGTCACAACCTCCAAAGAAGCCCTCCCATACCGCGTAAAACGTCCCCAAACTCTCCGGACTCCCTTTCACCCCTTTTCCCCCCAACCCCCATCCCACCCCCGCCCCAAACCCTACTTGGGCGGACGGGGGTACTTGAAGGTGTATGCCTTGTTCTCCGCCACCTCGCCCGGGGCGCCCTTCTCCGGGGGGTCCCAGTGCACACCTGCGGCACATCACGACGACCGTGATAACATCAAAACATAACGAACATGAACATCATGGACACAGACACATGTACCTACCAGACACACCCGAATACATTGACTCATTCACTCGCATACACATACACCCATACATACACGCATACATACATACATACATACATACAGCACCAGATTCATAGCACCGCTAACCTACACACGGAAGCCACCACCGCAAGTCCGCGAAGAGCAACCAACCCGCCCATTTGGCTAACGGAGATTTTGTTTTTGGACTGGGGATCTTATTATCTATCGGGAACCTACAATCGGGAACGCACACCACCATGTAGAGGGGGGGTGAGAGGGCGGAACCCAGCCCAGGGGTGAACAAGGCCCAAGGACACAGTCGGTAGGTCTATCCCTCGCCCCTCGCAGCCTAGCCCCGGGTAAACAGCCCTGCACGTGTGTTTTGCCGGCACCGCACACCACCACTAGGTGTGGCGCATCTCGGTGTGCGCACGTGCTGCACCGCACGCGGACATGTATCAAAACACTGTGCGCCACTACCACTACCAATACTTCGACGCGTTTCCCCATTTCGACTCTATGAAGTCCGGCCACAGATTAGCTCGCATGGCTAAGCTACTCATATGCAATGTATCAGACTTTTTAAAAAGCGCGCTCTCCTGGTGTATCCACTGCGCACAGCTCTGAGTTAAAGAAACGTTTGCGAAAGGGAAGACTGAGGGGAAATTGAGGTGGTGGAAGGGGCGGGATGGTGGCTGGGAGGACAGCAAGACAGGGTCGCTCCTGCTTCTCCCCCCCCTTTGGAGCTCTCCGCGCCTCCGCGCTCTTTTTTTTCACCTTTCCCCTTAACTTCTTTTTTTCTTCTCTTACCGTTAAAGAGGATCTCGTTCCACTCCTGGGTGGCCCACTTGATCCAGGCGGGGATCTTGTCCATCCAGTGGCCGTCAGCAGTCTCCAAACGACACTTCACCTTGGTCCTGCGGCCGCGACGTGGACGGGGGCAGGGCAGGGAATCATACGCAAGGGGAGGAAATCAGAACTGAACCGGGGGCAGGGAGGGAAGGGAAGGGGGAAGGGGGGAAAGACGAACCACACACGATTGAAGCTGCTGCCAGGGCAGGGGAGGGGGAACGGGGGGAGGAAATATATGCTGAATGTTGGGTGCAGAGACGCATCCTTTCTGCCAAAACTACTGCCCGATGTCCATCAATGTGTCAACTGCGGAGGGAAGAGAGGGATGCCAGGAGAGCCAAATGGAGGGCGGGAGAGGGATGCCAGGAGAGCGGAAAAATGATTATGGCTGGAAAAGCTGCGCGGGGGCGGGGGGCCCAAGGGGCTGCGTACGGCCGAGACCAGGATATTCTAAGCCCTCCGGACCCAAGAGAAAAAAGTCACCAAGACATTCACCATATAGCCTGTGATTGTATATCAGTCTCGTCCGCTGCACCGGCCGCAACTCAACTCCCAGCTCCGAAACCCCCGACCACAGCTACCCCCCCTGCTGCGACGCCCTTCCCCTCCGTAAAGCCCCCGAGAAGGTCGACCCACGCCGCCAAACCCCCCTCATGTCTCTTTCACAAGTGAATCCAAGGTCGTGCATGTGCAAAGTTCCACATCAAGTTCCATATCAAGTTTCGTTTCCCTTCAAGGCCCCACTGCAGCAGTGCTGAGCAGCTCGTTGCCCGGGATGACTTCCCCTTCTTGTTCTTTCCCGAGAGGAGAATCCCATAAAAGTCATCTTCATCGTCCCCCACCTACCAATGACCCCCTCCCCACAAGCCCCTATCCGCCAACTCCCCCACCCGTCCCACCTGTGCGGGATGGCGGGAGTGCCGTCCGGCATATCCGGCAGGAAGAGCTCCCAGGTGCCGAACTGGTTCTTAAAGGCCCAGTGGCTGTCAGCCGGGGTCCAGTTATTGAAATCACCAACCAGAGCCAGAGCCTGACAGACGACAGACAGGCAGACAGAGTGAAAGAAGTATTGGCAGCGGGGAAGGTGCAAAATTATAATGAGGAACGGGAACGGAGAGATGAGACTAAATGCGGAAAGAAATGAAACGATGAAAGCAGCGAAACGGGAAGAGGAAAGGAAGTGGTTGGGGGAACGTCTCTGGGTTTTACTTTGGGTAAGTACTGTTTCCTTTGGGAAGGCATTACTCATCATCATCATCATCTTCATCATCTTCGTCCCGTCCTAAATCCCAATTGTCAATCTGCACTACCAGGCATTCGTACCTTGGCTCCCGGAGCCCACTCGCGGTACCAAATACCGGTTTGGCCGTTGCACTCCCCGCGGTTGAAGCCGTAGTATTTATAACCTGAGAAAATAAGAAGCGGGATGCTAATAAGGGGTGTGTGAAGATGGTGCGGGAAGTTCGGCCCCGAAACCCAGTTAAATGGCCGTACAACCCTATCGGATCCGCACGGCCAAGTTTGGATAAAATCCAGACACGCACCGAATAGGTTAATAAGCTATGGATGGTACTTTTGAACTAATGTATCCCACACGCGTTCAGATGCATACCCTCTGTAAACTTCTCAAAGCCGCCCTCGTTCTGGTCGATGGCGCTGCGGATGTTCTTGAAAACGTTCCACCGGTACTGTGCGATACCGTTAATGTCGGCGGGTTAGTATGCAAGGAAAGTTACCGGGTTCGACAACTTGCAAAATATGGAGAACGACCCTTCAAGCATAAATAAGAGCTCGAACAAATTTATTTGGTAACAGACGGTGGCAAACAAACCTTAAAATGCTCGGCCGCAGACCAGAGTGTGTTATCCCACTTAAAGCACATCGTCCCATCGTGGTTGGGGATCGGCGAGATAGGCCCATATTCATCAACATACTCCATGTTGTCTGGAACTTCAACACTAGGGCTCCAATACTCCTCAGGGCGCTCGAGCATAGTCACCACACCGCCCAGCTCGTCAAGAAGGCTCAACCCGACACCGGCATCGCTTCCCAGCGCCACCTCCTGAACTGACTTGCTGGTCAAATTTGCTACCGCTGCACCAGTAGCGGGTGCCTCCGCGATGCTATCGATGGGGACGTTAGCGACATCAAGGGTTTGTCGCAGTAGTTCGTTCTCACGGCGCAGGAGCTCCAACGCTGACAGCTTCTCGCCCGGAGCAGCTGTTGCGGCCACAGTTCTAGGCACAACCCCTGCGATGGATTGCTGTCCGTCAACACCCTCGAACGCAACGAGATCCCAAGCACTCGAACACCCTTACCACGACGCGCCTTGGGCGCGATGCCTCCTGCATGGGGCCTGCTTCCAGTTTGAAGCTTTCCGAGCTGCATTTTCAATTTCACAACGCGATGTTGACAGCACCAGGCAGGGTCGCCTCGTTTGGGCGCCGAGCCACCCGACGAGGGCAGCAATTGAGCAATGAACTGTAGCTCTTATCTTAGAATAATTTCCTGATAAAGTATATAACAATCTTCTCAACGCGCCAGCTAGCGTTGAGTTGGCATCAAATCTTCAGCCCTGAGGACTTTATCTTCTTCAACGGCCGCAGTTCGCGCCGTACCACAAATAAAATTCTGTTGGTTGAGGAGCGTATAGTATTCCCTATGATATGAGCCGTATAATCAAGAATGTATCCTGCATGCTGAGAAGTTACAATGCAAGAGCTTGGCAGGTACACAATCAGCCACTTTTGGACTTCTACACGCGAATCTGTGCACGTCATTCTTGCATACTAAGTTGCAGCTACGCATACTAGTATGGTGATTCATCAAAGGTTATTACACTCGTTATACCAGCATGGCACTGGGCATCCACCAGTGACTAGGCATGGTAGTCTGTTTCCCGAATGGACAACGAAGCCACTTTCTGATGACCCGATGGTCCAAGTCCAAGGCTGTAAGATCAAGGCCCTTGCCCGCATGGGCCTAAACGCCCCATACAAAAAACATGGCATTAGGCTGGATTTAATCGTCGCCTTGCGCGCCACATGCCGTCATCAATCTACGTTTCCTGGGCTACTGCACTCCTATGCATGTGTATACAGCTCTAGGTCGCACAGCTCATTAGAATACTTGACGCAGTAATAGATGCGGTGAGCCCTGGTCACTCAATACACAACACGGGCTAAACACCGCATCATCCGTTGCCTCGCACTTCGCAGCAGGGACATGTTGCAGCTCACAACGTCTGCCATAGAGCAAAAGCCATGCCCCCTGTACACTGCAACAAAAACATTTTCTACCCACGCCCAAATACTGAAGGCAACACCGTCACCTTGATAACACACGAAATTACTGTATTCATGCACACGATGCACACACTACTCAAGGATCACGCCGTCAATGTCGCAAAATCACGGGGTCAAAGATGCCACTCCCCAGAAGGTGCTAATTCCCGCAAGAACGCGCACGCAACCAAATTTCCATGATAGAGGTACGATGAAATGCCTTCACAATCTCCCTTGCCGGAATTTCCTCAATCGCGAATCAGGATCGCGTGATGATGATAGACCGTACAGGGACAAGTACCGTACAGGGACCGCACCAGCCCATAGTAGAGCACTTGAGGTGGCACTCTGCGACTCGCGGAGAGCGGTTGATAACTTGATCTGTCAAAAAATGTCGACTCGTGTAACAAAACAGTTTCGTCACATCTGTTGTATAATATTCTGTGTATACTTCGGCACATTGCTGCGCTGTCCCAATCACTGTGCATGTCAACGCTGAGAGGTTCGTCGTCACCACATTCTATAGCGACGGCTTCAGACGCCGCACGACGCGGTCCCCATCGGCGGCTAGTGCGCCGCCACGAGATGCATTAGGCGCCTGTCGTCCGCAGGCGCCGCCGAGCTGTTGCAGCTGTCTTGGCCTTGACGGGTACGACACCCGCCACCCAGGGTACGAATTCGGGGGCAGTTCGATGCACCGCACGGAAATCCGCAGAAAAGGCGCCTTGGTGGTTGATCTCCTGGGCCGGCGCCAGTTGTCAAGTGCAAACGTCAGAGTGCGGCTTTTACCCATGCAGCAATCAACACCTAACGCAACATCTTTACGCAACATCTTTACGCAACATCTTTACGCACGTAAAGATATTGCAAGCAACAACACCTGCCCATGCCCCCAAGCAGCCGTGCATCCAAGCAGACGGTGGTTTCTTTCTCGACTTGCAATGGCGAGCAGGGCGGTGCATAGGCGTTGCCAGGTGGATGGCCTGGCATGCGAAAATCTCACCGTGGATGCCACCCGGGCCCGGGTGATCCCCTTCATCCTTTGCTGACAGTTGCTGACTCCAACCCCGCTTGCATGACGACCTCCTCTGCTTAAATCCGGCATACCATTTTTGCAGGTGTGGGTATACACCCGTCGCAGAAGACTGTCCGCGCGACATCGCACCACCCCGCTACAGCACCCGTCAACCAGGGCCCTTCCCTTCCCAGCCCGAGATCCCATTGACATACCAGGTTTGATTTAGATCGATCTGGGTTGTTGTCCCACTTCGCCTGATGCTTCAACCAACAGTCCCCAGTCGTGTGGTTGTGGATGTCCTTTTGAGGGAAGAAAAGCAGATGGCAGAGGGCAGAGGTGCAAAACGTCGCAGCTGGTCGCGGAAGGGGCGGAGCACACAGTGCACCGCAACCCAACCACCACCGCCCTACCGCCCGAAACAACTCCCGCCCAGACATGGCAACAAGGTTGGCAAGCTCTCAAGGACAGCCTTAATCCTTAAGGAGGCGGTGGTAGTGGCGGTGATGGTGGCGGTGATGGTGGCGGTGATGGTGGCGGTGATGGTGGCGGTGGTGGTGGCGGTGGCGATTCCTTGGTGGTTGTGCAATGCTACCTGAGTACCTAACAAGAAGTGTTGGGGTACGAGAAAGTGTCTCTCGTTCATTGGAGCCCTCCCAGCAGCCTTTCCGTTACTCTTCGTTTGGTCCACAGGTTGGACCAATGCTCTAGCCACTGGCCCCTTCGGCTCTCTTTGGCAGTATGGTACATCGGAGGTGATCCCTTTCTGAGGATCCCATGTGGCGAAGGGCCATTCAATTTTGCTGAATCCCTACCCTCCTCAACCTGGCCAGCACACAACCACCTAGCCAACACGGAAAAGCAACATCATACTTTACGCATTTCCAAGGACCCTCTAGCATCCCCAGCCACACCACCAGACGCGCTACCCACTGAACCAGAGCCCACTAAGCTCACCATGGTCCAGCAAATCCCGCTAGGATCACCTGCACGTATAGAAAAGGGCAGTCACAGCGCGCATCGGGTCGTCTGCGGGATGGATAGCCACATGCATAGTTGCCCTACTCACCAAACCTCTTGAAGCAAACTCCGCAAAAACCAATAGGGCTTCTCATGACAGACAGCGCACACCGAAGGACCCACACGCTAGCGTGGCACGCTGCTCGCAGAGGATCACAGCGTCGCGATGCCCGTCCCATCCCCCAACCCCCATCCCACCCACACACACACACAAACACGCACACGACACACCGCATTCAAGTGCTTGTTGAACGCCCAGTCTGCCCCGACCGGTGATGTATACATGCATTTAGGCAGCATGACAGCAGCCGAGGCTCGAGACTCACCGCACCAGACCCAGATGTTGCAAGGCATGTTGCCCCCGGCCTTCAGCTGGTGGTCTCTGCAGGCCTGGCAACACTCAGCTGCTGATGCCCTCTTGTGGCCGAGGCCCCACACCACCGCGTCACCGGCATAATCTGTGTGCTGGGGTTTCCGACAAAAGGACGCAGCGCCTCAACATGGGTACGTTTTGGACATAGCCCAGAGAGCGATGGCTCCCCAATCCCTGGAAGCTACATTACACGGCGCTTGTAGGAGTGCTGAAGCCAGGGTTCGGTCCGTCCCGGAACATGGTTTACTGATCATGGGACGACCTCCTAGGCGCGACCCAGGTGCATAGCGACAGCGCAGCATGGCACCGGTGCGGCGGCAAACCACATGCGCCCGGAGGTAAGAGGTGCTGGCGACCGAGATACGTCCGCTGCATGCCATTCACACACCTAGCCATGCACATCCATCGGTCACGGACATGAAGCAACCCGTATGGTTAGCTTTCCAACTCTAATGGGTAGCTTTCCAACTCTAATGGGTAGCTTTCCAACTCTCTGACAGTGGGCTCTGGCGCCAAAGGCCGGCTAGGAAGCCAGTCGAATGGGGCCCCATAGGCAGCTATGCATGGGGCCGGGTTGCTGTCCCTCGCCATGATGAAGCGTCTGAGTTAATGTGCGCGTCCCACGGAAAAAGCAATGGCAAGCTGCATGTGCCAGCAGCTGAGGCTACGAGCCTGGAACCCAATCCCACAGCTATCTACTGCTGACCTGTTGCGGATAGCAGTCCTCCGGAATGGGAACGTCCAAGATCTGCGGGCCAGTGGGTAGGACAGCTTTTAACCCGAAGCGCAATACGATGAAGCAGCAGAGGCATCGCTCCGATGGATTCGGTACGGTGGGACAGCGTGCTGTGCAGGGCATGCTTCCTGAAATCATGGGGTGCATTTGCCACCTCGGTCATCGTACACGGGGGTTTGTTCGGTCGCTGGGATGCCAAACCCTACGACTTGCCTGCAATTTGCGTCCCTTATCTTCGATCTCAACGATAACCCTTTGGGTTACTTCAGATGACGTGCCAGCACCAGGTCCTATAGCTGCGCCGGCAGCAGCTTTTCCTGTGCTCGTGGGTCCTTTCACCGGCGTCGCTTTTTGATCAACAGAGGGTTGCACAGGTCTGCCTTGACCAAACTGCACAGCGAGAAGTGAGTGAGTGGAGCGCAACGACTACGAAACGGGACGTCGGAATCCGCACCTGTGCGGCGACGAAAGCTCCAGATGCTGCGCAACCGAAAAAATGAGGATGTACTTAAGCATCATAGAGGAGGATTATGCGAAACTTACCCTCAACGGCAGCTTTCAACTGATCCCGACCAGCCCACGAGGCGAACCCGATTACAGCAAGAAATAACGCCAACGGTGCAGCAGCAGCTATCCGCTGCGCTACCGTTCCGGTCATATTAGGCCTAGTATACATCTTGGAAGCACGCAGGTCACAAGAGGGGTTTTATTGGTAGCCCAGCGGACGGGCGGCAACAGTGTAAGCGCTAGAGTCTATATTTATTTAGATGTAAGGCATCACGTTGGGTAAGGAAGTCAGCCCTGGTGCTACGGAACCAAGGGGCAGGACGGCAATTGACGCAGAGTATGCGCTTGCGCAAAGAACTAAGAGTGTTGCAGGGATGTGACCTAAAGCGATCTTACATTTGACCTCATAAGACCAGGTATGCCAATTGACTAGTCCGCGTTGGTAGGCTCGAGCATGCTGGGAATGCTGTAACGCCGTGCAGGTTGTACGTGCATTTTTATTCATGCACGAATCCAGTCAGTCACCGATCCGTGGTAGGTAGATCACTGTGACCCATACGTGCCTAATTTGAGCTAGTTGCGGGCAAAGCACAAGCTTGACCTGTCGGAACGCTTTGCTATGGCTGGAAAGCCAGACGGAAATGCGACCTCGTTGTCTGCAACTATAGAGGCTTTAAGAAACGCTGCTGAGCAGAGCATATCTGACATCCAAAAGCAGGCAGACGCAGCTCTGAAGGAGGCGGCATCTCAGCTGGTAGCCGGAGGTGCCGTAATCGCCGACTTTGTCCGGCAAGGAGTTTCTGTCACACAGCAGTATGCAGATCAGGGAAAGGTAGATAGCTAAGGCTAATAAAGTCATGTTGGCGCTGTCATGACCCGCTGGCCACGTACCCGGCAAACAGGGCTATATCGGCTACGGCCTATGCCAGCTGAAAAGGGCTGAGGATGCAGCGATTGCCGAGATCAAGTGTAAGTGCCGGCTTGGGGATTGTCGCTGAAAAGCACAACCCGAACTCTTGAACCCCCTGCCTGACTTCGTATTTCACCCGACCCAACCATTATCCCCTGACGCCTCTTTCCTACCTCCCTTCCGGATGCGTCATAGGCGGCCTGGAGCTTGTCCAGAGCAACCCGTACCTTTCCTACCCGCTCCTAACCACCGGGAGCCTTATGCTTCTGCCTGGTACGGCTCGGCGCACACGTGTCCCTTTCAATTCCTACGCCCATAGAACACATCACACCTCTCCAGCTCTCTACACACACCTGCCCCCGTCCCCGCTAATTATCTTAACACCAACACAACAACATGTACACATGAGAAGCACTACCCGTTACCGGCGACGTCACACACGCAAAGTGCCGACCTACCCCTGAAGATAAGGCCAACAAAGAACAGGCCGACACAAATTGCGTAGCAGTTTCGCGTTTCAATTCCCCCCCCCACACACACCGATCGGTGCAGTGGACTCGCTCCTTTCTAGATGCTGACGACTGCGTGTTATAGAACTCGCCGTGTTTGTGTCTGTCGCAGCGCTGCTCTTCCGCTTCCCAACTCCCAACAAAAACCAACGTAATGCAGTAATGCAATCCAATGCACAAAACCCATTTCTTTACGCAACCCCAAAGTCCACCAAATGAAATCAAATCAAACCAATATCAATATCATTCGCAGTCACTCGTCGGTTCCTGTACCGAGCCACGTTGGGTCGGCTGCGCAGTCCGGACAACATCCTGAAGGGCTGCGAAGGCAAGGTGGAGGGGCTCCGTGTCAAGATGGCCGACTACTCCACGGAGGCCAAGAAGCTGCAGGTGTTGGCTTGGGGCCGCTGGGGCTTGGGGCGGAAAAACGATAGGTTGGTGGGTGAAATGGGTCTCGATCCAACGGAGGGAGTAAGGAATGTGGTGCAAGGTAGGGGCCCGGTCTTGAGGGGGTGGGAAGAGGTCGGTCGGTCGGGTCATTAGAAGCGCTGCCAGGGGTTGCGGGATAGGGGTTCTTCCAGGGATGGGGAGCCGAGAGAGGACGAGATAGAACTTGGGACAGGCCAGGACAGGACCACGCATTGGGGGAGCCACTGGGGCGGACATGACATGGGGGAGGAAGGAGAACGTGTGGGGGGTAAATGACGAGGTGTTTTGACACGGAAAAGCAGCATCCCGAGAGCGCAGTCGCAATGCCTGCTCGAAGCCTCGCAGTCACTAACCTCAAGATTTTTTTCTCTCATTTCCGATTGCTGGCTAAGAATCGCGCCGCTTGCTGGAAAGCGGATCGGTCATCTCCTTCGTCCCTCTCCCCGGTTCCGCAGCTAATTGGGTCAGGGCTGCGACACCGCTTTGAACTGCTCGGGCTCCGGCAGCCGCGGTGGTGCTTTTGGACCAATCGGCTGTTGCTCTCCTTACCTGGGCACATCAGTATAAGATTTTTTTCTCCTCGCAGCGTACAAAATTGCTGCTCTTTCTTCCTCCCCTCTCCTCTCTACTTTCCTTCGCCCCTCGTCAGGAGCGCTTGGTGGCGGCGGAAGAAGAGTACATCCGGGGCAGGGCGAAACTCAAGTGAGCGGGTGGGCCAGCAGCGGGTGGGCGGGTGAAAGGGACGTGACACTCGCGAAAACAGACCGGCGAAGGGGTGCAAGCAGCGCAAAAAGGCACGTCATCATCATTGTGCGCTGTTCACATCGCCTGCCGTCCTGCTCCGACCCGTCCCTTCCTTCACATGGCCCGTCCGTCGGCGGCGAAGTTGGGCGCCGCCGGTTGTTTCTCCGGCTTTGCTGCCCTGGCGCGCCAATTTAATGCTGCCCAATTTAATTCGGCTCCCTCTTCCCGGTCTTGCGTCTTTAGGGCTACTCGGCACGAGTTGACTCGGCTGGCATCAGTGGTGGGCAAGAGCGAGCGGGCGGCTGCAAGTGGGTGGGGTAGGGTTGAGATGACACGCAGTAGGACTAGGGCCAGTCGGATCTGTGTCGCCAAACTCTGCCGTCTGGTCTGGCCGTTACATGGGTCTACCTATCCCCCCCCCTCCCGCCGCTGCGTCCGAGGAGTTTATAAAGTAGAGTTGCTGCCACCAGGTTGCCGCCTTTGTTCCCCGCTGCTCCTTTACTGGTTTCCTGCTTTACCTTAAGCATTAGGTTCCGACCCGATTGATGACCCGACAATTTACGGCGTCTTGTTTGTTGCTGGGTCGAATTCGTGCTGGCGGCGTAATTCGCTTGCGCCGTGCTGATGAGCCCCCTGAGTGATCTATTGCCCTGTTATAACAATGCTGTGTGTGATGTGGGTTTTGCGTTATGCGCGTGTGCAGGTGTGCTCGAGGACCTGCGTATCATCCGGAAGCTGGACCAGGCGGTGCAGCTCCGAGCCGAGGTGGGGCGCCGGGGCGGTGAAGAGTGGGGGCCGACGCAGAGTCCTGTGTAGCCCTGTCCGTGTTGGCATCCGTGCAGTCCGCCGGCTACTGCGGCCCCAGTGAAGGGCCACTGTTCGGTCCCACAAGACTTGGGACGAGGACCTTTTCCAAATCCCCTGGGCTGCCTGACCACCACCACACCGCGGGTCGGGCCTCCGGTACTCTTGACTCGGCGGACCTGTGGATAGGCTACTCTCTGACGCGTTTTGATCAACTGACTTACTAAGGGTTCGTTCCTAACCCACAACCCGGATTGTGATTGGATGTTCCCGACCGCTGGCATCACACACCCGCGCAGGCCGCGTCGCAAGTTGCGGACCTGCGCTCGCAGCGCAAGACGTTGCTGCAGCACGCTGAGCGCATCGCCAAGAGGGATATCTAAGGGGAGGAGCAGGATCATGATCATGATCAGGAGGGGGAGGAGGAGCAGGAGTGGTGGGAGTTGATTGACCGCTCGAAAAGGGCCCTGGGGGAGGAAGGGGAGGAGGAGGAGGAGGGGGGAATTGAAGTTACCGGTAGATGTAGCTGCGGTGCGTTGGAAGACCCTCCAGGTCAGCGGGGCCAGTAGCAGAAGCTAATAGTTGCGGAATGCGTGAGGCGTTATCGTTTGGGTGGGCTATGGCATGGGGGGCTGGAAAAGGGGTTGGAAAGGAAACAATCGGCTTTTGCGTGCGAGGTAGGGGAGAGGTGGGGACGAACACTGTGATGGCGACGGGGGGGACGCCGTGATGTCCACATGTACTTGGCTTGGTGCGCAGGGGGAGCGCGTGCTGTGCCCGTGCTGAGCATGGTTTGGTCCAGGGAGGGAGGGATTCCCGGTGGAATGGAACATAGGTACGTGAAGGGTTTGAGGGTTTTGGAAAGATGTGGCATCGCCGGATGGGAGCGCTGGAGTTTGTTTTATAACACGCAGACGGAGTCTAGAGAACTGGTGGGATGTGCGTATGCGTGAGGGAGTGCAGCGTGCTTTAGTGTGCTTCAGGTTTTGCTCTAAGCTTCCTGTTGTTGCGTAGGCATGGCCGCGCAGTTCATTCTTTTCCCTGCGTGCAGGGCCGCTCGCGCTCCTTTCGGGGGTTTAGGGCTTTGTTCTGTCAGTCAAGGGGGTTTGCGGGTGATGTGATGTTTTTAGTGTTCAAGAGGATTTCGGAGTGGGGGGTAGAGAAAGGCCGACCAGGGACCACACATCTCATACTGAGAAGTAATTCGCGGATTGGGTTGGCTGCCCTGACCTGTTGGCCTTCAGTAATTGTAGCTTTCACGGCTGGAAGCAAAAACTTTTTGTGAGCGACTTAATGCAGTTTGCTGCGGTATATCCACAAACTGAACATCAGCAATATCAGTAAAAAGGTTCAGCAAACGTAAGAAGCTAGGCAGGTTACGACCCCTGTCGTTTTAACGGTCTGGTGCAGCCAATGTGTGCATGCATTGTATGTATGTACACGTTGCGAATATGTACGACATACATATGGCACGGTACGATGACGGCGATCGGTATAATCCGCGCTGTCCCGACTCAAACGCAACTCGTAGCTCCTGGTTGCTCCTCGCACACAGCTGCTTGAATGTGGTGCTTGGACGTACTTTCCTCTTCGCCGTGCATGCTCTCATGTGCGACAGATCCCCCCCCAAGGAACCCCCCAGGGCCCGACCGGACACCTAAACAGTTGATTCTTATGCGCTCCTACATTTGTAGCCCTCACAGCAGCCACCTGCGGAGACGGCTTATATGGATCCTGCTTACGTGCTCAGTTGCATTATACGGTGCTACGCTGTATGTTTTCATATACTAGCAGACGAGCGTAGTGCTTGCGTGCATTGGCGATGCAAGGTACACTTTTCCCGGAGTTTCCTGATCAGGAAACGGTCGCGTGTTTTTGTGGCACGCTTGAGCAGGAGAGCAAGGGAGGTGCCCGTCCAAGGCCTTGAGTAGGTGTGTAGCTTTCGGGGCGGCTTTTAGGCAGCATCTTTAACTCTTGGGTTTGGGAGTCTTATATGTCTTTTGGAGTCGCCTTCGCTTTGCAATTGTGGCTGTGAGGTTGTCTCAGATGTCCAAGCTCGGCTGTCTCAGATCGAGGCAGCTGCTGTGCTATATTCTTTCAGTTGCTGTCTGTTCCCGTGTGCGACACGAATAGCGTGTTGGTTTTAGCGTGTCTTTCGGCCACGTATAGATAAGAGTTACAGACCGCGTACCTGACAGGGCCGTTGAGCCGAGTGGCAGTTAGCAAGCCGCGTAAGCATGTGCCTATATTTCTCCGCTGTTTAAGTGCAGCGCAGACTAAAGCCGCAGACTGCTTTATAAGGCTCTGCTGGGCCTGCTAGCCAGCTCGCTGACGCTCACGCAGACAATCGCACCCTCGGCCGTGGGCGCCTGGCTGGGCCTGTGCTAATGTGCTCAGCTTTTTAGGGCATTTGCGCGTAAGGCCGCGTAACTTGACGACGCACGTACTTTGTCTAATAAGCTGTAGCCTTGTGACGGGAGAAATACCGTAAGAGCAGCAGCAGCAGCAGCAGCAGCAGCAGCAATAACAACACGTAGAGCCGCGCGCCCGGCCCTGCGCTGGTGTGTTTCGGCCCCCGGTCAGGGCCCCCGGTGCTCGTCCTTTCTCGGGCGAGCCGCCCACAGTGTAACACCCCCCATCAACAACAACAATAACAACAGGAGGGACGTCGCGAAGTTTGAAACCCCCCAGGGGACAGGGACAGTGCCAATCGAGGGAAGGGCCACGCTCCTCCCCACGGCCTACCTCTTAGCCATACAACCGCCCGAAACCCCGGGGGGGGGGGCCGTCTTCAACAACGTTGGGCCTGACGTCCTGCTCTCGTCCTCCACTCCACACATCGGTTGAAGTCATTGCGTTAATTAACAACCCGTCAAAACACACACACATACATACACACACACACCCCGGCAAGCACACCCCGGCAAGCACACAGCCGCGCCGCGGCCCTTTTCTCGGCGCCTACTTCGCCGTTGCAGCCCCTGCCATCCATGACCCCAACTGCCAGCCACTGCCGCATTCGGAGTTACTCTTACTGCTAGTTATATGACCGCTCCGTCCTAAGCCGCCAAACCATAAGCTGTGTGAGTTAAGACTCCCAACCAAAATCCCCAAAGCCACAACCAACTCACCACCTCCTCGTTTTCGCTCGTGGCGGATTCCTTTTCCCCCCCATCCTCATCCCCATCCCCACCCCCCCAAAAAATCAAAACTTCACCACGGAAAGCAACTCGAAGCGGAAAACAGGTTGTGAAACCTCTGCAGCTATAGAAAGGAAAAAAAGGTCCCTGAAGCCCTAGTTGTTTTTCAGCAAACCGCACCGCAGGAATGCAACACTCCGGGGGGTTTGGTAGAGAGGAAAGGAACACCGAATGCAGGTGCCGCCAAGGTGTACGGCATTCGGTAACTCTGCAACGGTCCTGCCGTACAACGGCTTGTTAATAACTACTTCAACTACACATACACACTCTTTCGCGCCACAATGGGACGGGACGGGATGACTCAAAAGTAAAGTCAGGGCCGCGTCCTCTCTCTCCCTCTCCCTCTATCTCAAGCGAGGGTAGCCGGCGGCCGCATCACAACCCCACCTCCAACCTACCCCAATCAATCAAATCAGGGTGGCTGTTACAGACCAGTTATAAGTCTTCCCCGCCCCCCGCCTCCGTGCGCTGTCCCCAGAGCTGAGTCTCGAACCGAGCCCCCCGGGCCCCAAGGCGCCCCCCCCGGGGGCCCTTGTTACATGAGCTGGCCAACACAGTTGGGGGCGCCGCAGCCGCACTTCATGTCGTACTGCGGAACAGCGCGGCTGGCCTGCGCGGTGTTCAGATCCAGATCGCATCAAAGGGGGGAGGGGAATGACTTAAAGGGGGGGGTGACTCTTCAAAAGGGGGGGAACTGCACCACCAAGTGGGAAGGATAGCTGGACGCATGGACGCCCGGGGACAGGGGAGAATCAGTTGAAGAATTCTGCATGCCGTACAAAGGCCGTGCAGCCATTCCGGCATTCACTCCCATCGGTGCGCTGCCTGAGTTGCCTTCACCGCCTCCCCCCCCTTGCCCCCGGGGGAGGGGGGATCACGAGGGGACGGGGGGGGACCGCCCTCCCAGCCGCAGGTAGAACAGAAAAAAACCCGACCACGTTCGGTGGATCCTCCGAAACCACAGGCTGCTGTGGCTGTGTTGCTCCGGAGCCCTTCTCCACATCCGTCATTCCGTGTTTTCGTTGCAGCCACTGCACCCCCCAGCTGCTAACCCGGGGGTTCTAACCCACACGACCCCCTCCTGTCGTACCTGGCTGTGGTAACCGTAGTTGTACGTGAGCTCTGGGGGGGGGGAAGAGGGGGAAGAGGGGGGAGAAGAGGGGGCAAGGGGGGGAGAGGTCGCAGCAGCAAAAGGGATGGGACATGTAACGAATGAACAGCTCCCGGCTGGAGCCCCCAAGACGTGATCCCCCTCTCGGGGGTGGGAACCCTCTACAAGGTTCCGGCCATCTGCCCGCCCGTTCCGTACATCCGACCCTCCGTACATTCCGTCCAAACACGTCCATCCCTGACCCTCCAGTCCGCCGTGACATGGTTGACCACGGCGGCACGGTGGACGAAAAATCGTCATCTGCCTTTGCCGTACTTCCTGTTTTTCCTCCTAGTTAACGCACATCAAGCCCCATATCGACACCCGTGACCAGGTGACGTCGCCCACCCACTCGCCCACCCACCCACCCACCCACCCACCCGTCATTGGGGGAATGTCCGTACAGGCGTACAGGCCTGTGGGTGCCGGACGTTGTGTCGCGTCATCGTGCCGTGCGGGTTTCACCCCGGGGGTGCGGGGAGGGGGAAGGGGGAAAGGGAGGGAGTTCGAGCACGGTTTGAAGGTCACGTCCGTGTAAGGGCCCCTCTCACCGCCATCACCACCATCACCGCTCCAAACCACCACCTCTCAAAATTGCTTACACCCGGCCCCCAGCTGTACAAACCCCCCACCGCATACATACATACATGACATGGAAATGACCGACACTCATATATCAGTGAATGGTAGCCACAGTAATAGGACCCAACGGGGGTCCGGCGCTTTGCTGGTCTTAACAGGTTATGAACCCCGAATGGCGCATTGCGCTGCCGAGAGATCGCCGGATCGATACCCACTGGCTGTTGCCCAGAGAATGGGAGACCGGGATGAGGCACGGGAAGGCCCGTAGCGAGAGAGTGTCGCTCACGGGGGGGTGTTGGAAATGACCGACACTCATATACCAGTGAATGGTAGCCACAGTAATAGGACCCAACGGGGGTCCGGCGCTTTGCTGGTCTTAACAGGTTTAGGCAGGCGGCTGGCAGAAGTTAAGGCCTGACTTCTGCTCCCAGTCGATCCAGTCGACCCGGGTTCAAATCCGCCTGCCAGCTCCTCGGGTGATTGAGGAGTGATGAAATGGGAGGTGGCCCCCCATCATATGGACGGTGTAGGACGTGATAATATCAACTTGCGAGCTGACCAGGAACTAAGTTGATGCGCCGTTGATCCGCTAGATTTGGTTTGATGCTGGTGGTGAGTTGCCGAACCCAACGAATACATTCTGAAGTCGGATGGGGTGACGGATTAGGGTGCCCCTCTAGCAGGGGAGAGCAGGGACTGCCCCGGGAAAGGGGGCCGCTGGCGAAGTTAACCACCCTGTAACAACATACATACATGACGGAATTTTTTTCTGATATACCTATAATGACCCCGGCATGCATACATACATACATACATGCACCGTGGGGTCCCAGCTCAGTCCCCCACTCACCCCGACTCAAGAGTCCCAAAACCCGCCGTACTACCACTACTAACTACTACTACTACTACCACCGCCACCGTCACCACCACCACCACCACCACTACTACTAGTACTGCTGTTGGTATTGCTACTGCTACTGCTACTGGGCTACAAGGCTACAGGGCTGCCCACTCACCCACGTGGTACAAGAACGTGTTGCGGTGCGACCCGGCAAACACCGCCTGGATGGTCAGATTGCCGTCGCAGCTGTGGTTGATGAAGCGGCCCACGTTGCCCATACTCCGGGCGTCCAGTACGAGGATGGGTGCGTACTCCACCCCCGCAACTGACGCCGTCACAGACGCCAACCCCGTCCGCGGCGCCACTTGTTGAGGCGGCGGCAGCGCCGCTGCTGCGGCGGATGTGGCGGCGCCGCCGTCGCCGTCGCCGTGCTGCTGCTGCCACCGCGGCGGAAGTGCTTCATCCCGAGCGAACAACTGTTGGAGGTAAAAGGCGCCGGGGTCGTTTTCAGCTGCCGTCGCCGCCGCCGCCGCTTTGGCGACTATTGGCGTGTCCGCCGCCGCCGCCGCCGTGGTGGCGGTGGTGGCGACGGCGGCGGCGGAGCCCCGGCTTCCGGACGGGCGTGCCGAGCCGCCGCCACCGCCGCCGCCAAGGTTCACGCTGTCGCTGTCACTGCAACCGCCGCCGCCGCCGCCGCCACGGAGGGCAGGTATCCCAGATGCCACAGCCGTACATGACGCTACCAGGTCCCTCGCCGCCGCCGCCACCGCCTCCCTGGGCAGTACCCCGTCAGCGCTGGCGGCGGCAGCCTGAAAGCTCCTAGAGGGAGTGCCGCCGCCGCCGCCGCTGGCCGCGGGGCCGCTCATTTGCCGCCCGGAGGGCCCTGCCGTCGCAACCACGGGCACGTCAGCCGCCGCCGCCGCCGCCTGCGCCACTGCGGCGGCGGTAATGGCGACGTCAGCGCCATTACCACCCGCTGGTGCTGCTGCTGCTGCTACTCCGGTAGTGCGTTGCGCTCGCGCCGCCGCCGCGGCATTGACCTGCAGCTGTCGTATAACGCTGACGGGCAGTACGGGCGGGATCTTGTGCAGGGGAATCTCTTGCTCGACGGCTTCCAGACCCTTCTCGGCAAT